CCCAAAAAAAAAAGGAAATAGAGCCAGCGATAAGTTAGAATTAATTCACTCTGATTTATGTGGCCCTATGAATATACAAGCAAGAGATGATTTTGAGTATTTTGTAACTTTCACATATGATTACTCAAAAAATGGATACATTTATCTGTTGCGCCGTAAGTCTTAATGCTTTGAGAAATTCAAAAAATTTAAGACAGAAACGGAGAAAAATCATGATAAATATATCAAAACATTGCGAACTGATCGTGGTGGTGAGTACTTATCTACGAAATTCATTAAATACTTATCATATTATGGAATTACATCTCAATTATCTGTCCCATGAACACCACAACAAAATGGTGTGGCAGAAAGAAGAAATAGAACCCTTTTTGGAAATGGTTAGATCATTGTTTAAGTTATTCTGATTTGCCTTTTTCCTTTGGGGGATATGCCTTAGAAACAGCAAATCACATTCTAAATTTGGTACTTTCAAAGTCAGTACCTTCAACCCCAACAGAATTGTGGACTGGGCGCAAGCCAAGTTTACGACACATTCATGTTTGGGATTGTCCAACACATGTGCTGAAAGGGAAAGCGATAAATTGGAATCGAGAACAAAAGTATGCATATTCATTGAATATCCAAAAGGAATTGAGGTTTATTTTATTGTCCCAAAGAAAATAAGGTAATTGTTATGACAAATGCCAGATTTTTAGAAGAGGATTCTTTAATGAACCATATTCCTATAAGTAAACTAGTTTTACAAGAATTAAGTAATGGAATAACTAATGACTCATATCTGGAACGTATCCCGAAAGCCAATATTGACATACCACTGCATTATCGTAGTAGGAGAAATGTTAATAGGCAACAGAACGCACAAGAGTAATTGCCTGATATCTCACTACCCCAAAGTAGTGGGAGTAATGTTGAGCAACCTCAGATTGTTGAGCAACCTAAAATTGTTGTGCAACCTGCACTTCACGAAGAAGTTAATGATATCCCAGCACCGCAAAGGGGTGGAGGATAACATTGAAGCTTCAGTTTTGAAAAATGATGTTGTGATTCGACAACAAAATCCAATTGCACCTGTAGTGACTAGTAGTAGTGGGAGAATTATTAAAAAACCTCTCCTGTTTGCGCTCTTGGGATAATCTTATGATAGAATCCCCGAAGAGCATAATATAGAACCTCTTAATTATGACGAAGCACTACAGGATACAGACGGTGATAAATGGGTTGTTGCTATGAAATCTGAAATAGAGTCCATGTACTCCAATCAAGTCTGGGATCTTGTAGAACTGCCTACTGGAGTCAAACCCATTAGTTGTAGATTGATCTATAAGAAAAAGAGAGGAATGGATGGAAAAGTGCAAACTTTTAAAGCTAGACTTATTGCAAAAGGGTTTACTCAAAACGAAGGGATCGATTATGAGGAAACATTTTCGCCAGTAGCCATGCTTAAATCCATTAGGATTCTCTTATCCATTGCTGCTCATTACGATTATGAGATTTGGCAGATGGATGTTAAGACATCTTTTCTTAATGGAAGTTTTGATGAATGCATCTATATGGCACAACCAGTTGGTTTCATAAAAAGTGGTAATGAGCACTAAAAGTACAAGAGGGGGGTGAATTGCTTATTTTAAAATTAATTATTATAAGTTGACTGGTTTTTCAATTAGTCGACTAGATGTAATAGTGAGATAATAAGAAGTGCAGAATTAAAATGCAGAAGTAAAGTGTAGGAATTAAAGACACCGGAGTTTTTATACTGATTCGGATTCAATGTGAATCCTAGTCCAGTCCTCTTGGGTTGTTAGGGAGTTCTCTTTCAGTGATTGAGTTTCTTGATACAAAGTGAATGGTGTAGTTTACACCAACAGCTCAGTTTCTATGTCACTCGTCTTTTCTTAATACAATGCCTCACCAGTATTTTGTTTTCTTTCTTCTCTAACTTGTTATACAACAGATCTAGTAGAGCTACAATGTTTGTTTGAATTAGAACAAAGAGAGGGTAATTGGTTTGATCAAAGTATGTCTCTATAAGACTTAAGGTTGCGTATAAATACTTTGTAGGAGACCGTTACTGAGGAGATTTGCCAACCCAAGAGATTTGATCCTTGGAAAGAAGTTGATTCTTTCCAAGAATAAGGTTAATTTCCGTTACTTTTCCTTGATGTGTGGACTTTGACAGCTTTCCATTTTTAAGTCTTGATAGCACCGGATTTTCTCATTAATTCTGGGTCCTTCCAGTAATAGCTATTGATTGATTATCTTGTCGGATCTTCAATGCTTCTTTTCCTTTTTAACTCTTCAATCAATCTCGGACTAATTATCTCGCCGGATCGTCAGTGCTTCGTTTCCTTTTGAATGCTTCAATCAATCTTTGATTGATTTCTTCCTTCAACTTTGATTGTTTCTCTTTATGCACTCCGATCTTGGTTGATTTTCTTGAGTCCCTACAAAAACAATTATATTATTTTTTCATCATTAAAACTAAAACCTACCAATTTTCCCCTTTTTGATGATGATAAAAAAATAATATATATAAACATCAGTTAACTTCCCTGTATTTTAATCCCCCTCAATGAGTGCAGTTGACTCCCCCTTAATAGGTGCCGTTGGGACTACTTATTTTAATCGACTTCTCCTATAGTATCTATAGTCGACTCCCCCTGCAATGGATGTACCTGCACGAATATATGTATAGCCTTCTCCCCCTTTTTGACATCAATAAAGAGGGGATAAAAACAACAATACACCAGATACTAAAGAAGAATTTGTAGCATGATATGCATGCATAGTTAAAACAAAATCATCCAACGACTGGTTATCCAGTCCAAAACAGCACAGCCAAAAAAAATTGTTTGAAACTTCCACACTAACGACGCAAGAAATAAGTAAGAGTATTGCCAATCGCCTCCTTCAGTTGATCAAAGCTATCATTAGCTGAGACAGTCACTCCATCAAGCATGTCGTGTACTTCCTTGAATGCCTAGACTGCGTTTTCCCTAACTCTGAGAATTGCAACCCTTATCTTTGAAACATCAGACCCTGTCTCTTTGGAGATTGCATGAATGTCCTCAACAGTGGACTGAGTGGCAGCAAGAAGATCTTTGATGGTGGTCAGCTGGTTGTCAATGGTAGTTAGTTTCTCGGCAAGGTCAGGATTACTAAGACTGTGATGGGAAACAGAGGCTTTGGTCTTGGAATCAGGTTGAACATGCTTGACCTCACCTTCATGTTTCTTAACCCAGGAGCCCTTCACACACATATCCCATATTAGCAAACGCCCTAGATTTGTAAGATTTTGAAACAGAGACGAATGGATATTCAGAGATAGAGATATTATAAGCCTCCAAAATGTGAGTGATGGCCATTCCATAGGGCAGACTGGTGGGATCATCAGCACTTTCAATCATAAAATTTATAACCCATGAGGACAGTTTGATCTTGAGCTTGGTCACAAGGCAATAGACAAGAAAGGTATCTCTTTGAGAGAAGGTGGATAAAGAGCCAGTACGAGGGAGCAGAGTAGTTGCAATAATGTGGGCTAGAATACGAGTTTCAAAGCTAACATCACTTGGACCTAACTAGTTCGGGAGGGATTCAGATGAACACTCAACAATACAACATTTTGCTTGATCAAAGATGATTTCAAAATCATCAGGCCAAGAATTTTTGAAAAGCATGGGAAAACCAAAACACTTACACTGGAAAATTGAGTCAAACATGGCACAATCAAGAACGATGTGCTTTCCTAACACTAAGGATTCCAACTTGTCAGACTTACTAGAGCGAAGATTGGCATAAAACATTCTTACTAGGGGTTCATAGAGTTTAGGATGGGGAATAAAAAAGAATT